TACTACCCACAGATGTGCTTTACTATTATTCTAGTATGTGGTCTTGGGAAAGTCAGTCCTGACATAGAGTTAGGTTTCTTAAAATACATTTACTGAATTTTCAGTAAATTCACTAATTTACTGAAAAAGTTGATTAATATACCATGTTAGATATTAACTGCTGGTTAAAAATAATTGGAACTCAAAGAAATTGAAGCATAAGGTTTATTCTGAGCAGTTATTCTGTATGCATACAGGAAGACCATTCTGATTCCAGAAAACAAGTTGTTCTAGTTGCTAGTTATAATGAAGCTTATAAAGAGAAGAAGAGGGAGAAGAACAGAAGATCAACCATTGGCTCATCTTAGCATGATTGATTGAACCCCCTGCCCTTCCCTATTTCTGAGATCAACTGATGTCAGATCACAAGGGTAGTCTCAGGCCACCAACCACCTTTAGCCATGTCTTTTGAAATTCAAATTTAGTAATCCTAGCTTCTAAGAGGAAATAAAAGTTTAGCAATTTTGCCTGAAAGAAAAGCCAAGATTAATTTTGGTGAGGAATTTCTGTACAGTTTTGTAGATTAAAAATACCTTAGAAATCAAAGTAAGATGTCTGGATCAGGGTCAGTGAACAGGATTATTCTCTAGACCAAGGATAGATTCAGCTGAGGCTAATCTTGCGTAGATACCAGTGACATAAAATACCGACAATCCTTACAGAAACAACAGAAGACAGACATAGAGTAATCCCTCACAGACAACCAGACACTGTGGGAGAGAGATTGAATGGATCTGCTGACTCAGGACTATAGTACAGGGGGGGATGACACCAGACTTAATTGGCACAACAAAATACATGAAAAATCTTGTTCTTCATTCTACATTGGTGAGTAGTGATTGGGGTCTTAAAAGCTTTCAAGCAGCCATCTAAGATGCAGTTAATGGTCTCCTATCGTTGGAAGTTGCTTGAACAATTTCTCTTAGAAAGATCAGCACGAGGCCGGTCCCCATGAGGCAGAGGTCAAAGATGTCCCAAATGTCCAAACTACCATGCCACTCCATCATTTCAGACATTAACTCCTCCTCCTCCTCCTCCCAGTAATTTCCCCAGTCTTAGGGTTCTGTATTTCGCTGTAACGCCTCACAGAATTCACAGACACCCAAGGGTTCATCTCATGTAGTAGTAGTGGTGGAGGCTGGCAGGCTGGCGAGTCCTGGGTCCGTGAGTAGGTCTAGCGGATCCTCCCAACTCTCGGGGTTTGATGAACCTCGATCAGCAGATCAGATGACAGCTGCTGTCCCAAATCCAGGAGTGAGATGAGGATGATCCAAGACACAAAGCCGGAGCAAGAGGAAGGTGAATCTTCCCAGGAGATTCGTAGGTATACCCTTAGGGAAGCTAAGGGTGGTGATTTGAATTATACCCTCCCACAAGGCAGGACTCAAGATACATTCCACCTATGTTGCCCCAACAGAATTAACCTAAATCCCATCACAGAGTCGATTGCCAGTCATTATAGGGAATGACTACTACCAGCTGCCCAGCCAAGTTGATACCTGACCTTAACTACCACAGCACCCCAAACAGGCATGGATAATGGAATTTACAAAACATCACAGAATGGAGAACAATGGCTAGAAGGGCCATATCAAGCAATTCACTGTGGAAGTGAAGAAAAGTGCAAAAACCAAGGACATTTCGAAGCAATCAGCCCTAGGACACGATGGACCTTGAGACCAGAAGAACTAGATGGTGCCCGGCTACCAATGCCAACCACTCAGGAAAGGATCAAAACTGGAGATCCTGGATAGAGGGGGAGGAAAAATGTGGAACAAATTCCAAAAACACAATAATGACCAGAATTACTGGTTGGATGGAGTCTGGTGAGACTCCCAATACTATAGCCATGGGATACATTTTGGGCCTGGAATAAAACTCATTCCCAAAGCCAAAGATGAGGAAATTGAAGATTTTTAATCAACTTCTGCAGTCTGAAATTGATTGAACATGCAATCAGGATGTGTTAATTATCACTGGTGATTGGAATGCAAAAGTTGGAAACGAAGAATCACCAGTAGTTGGAAAATTTGGCCTTGGTGGCAGAAATAATGCTGGAAATTGCATGGTAGAATTTTGCAAGACCAACTTATTCTTTGGAAATATCTTTTTTCAACAACATAGACAGCAGCTGTGCAGGTGGACTTCACCAGATGGAACACACAGGAATCAGACTGACTACATCTGTGGCAGGAGGTGATGGAAAAGCTCAATATCTTCAGCCAAAACCAGGCCAGGAGCTGATTGTGGAACAGACCATCAACTGCTCAGCTGCAAGTTCAACTTGAAGTTAAAGACAATTAAAACAAGTCCATGAGAGCCGAAATATGATCTTGAATAGATCCCTCCTGAATTTAGAGACCATCTAAAGAATAGATTTGATGCATCAAACACCAATGACTGGAAACCAGAACTGTGGGATGACATCAAGGGCATCATCCATGAAGAAAACAAGAGGTCATTAAAAAGATGAGAAAAGAAGAGAAGACCAAAATGGGTGACAAAGAGACTCTGAAACTTGCCCTTGAAGGGAGAATAGCTAAAGCAAATGGAGGAGATGCTCACGAGATAAAAGAACTGAATTGAAGATTTCAAAGAGCAGCTTGAGAAGACAGAGCCAATTATTATAATGAAAGGTGCAAAGGCTTGGAGTTAGAAAACCAAAATGGAAGAACACGCTTGGCATCTCTCAAGCTGAAAGAACTGAGGAAAAAATTTAAACCTTGAGTTGCAATATTGAGAGATTCTATGGGCAAAATGTTGAATGATGCAGGAAACATCAAAAGGAGATGGAAGGAATACACAGAATCACTATACCAAAAAGAACTGGTCGATCTTCATCCGTTTCAGGAGGTGGCACGTGATCTAGAACCAATGGTACTGAAGGAGGAAGTTGAAGCTGCGGTGAAGGAATTGGCAAAGAACAAGGCTCCGGGAACTGACGCAATGCTCATTGAGATATTTCAACAAACAGATGCCCCATTGGAGGCACTCACTCAGTTATGCCAAGAGATTTGGAAGACAGCTACCTGGCCAACTGACTGGAAGAGATCCATATTTGTACCCATTCCAAAGAAAGGTGATCCCACAGAATGTGGAAATTATCGAACAATATTAATATCACATGCAAGTAAAATGTTACTGAAGATAATTAAAAAATGCTTGCAGCAGTATATTGACAGAGAACTTCCAGTGGTGCAAGCTGGATTCAGAAGAGGATGTGGAACAAGGGATATCATAGGTGCTGTCAGATGGATCTTGGCTCGAGGCAAATACCAGAAAGCTGTTTACTTGTGTTTTATTGACTATGCAAAGGCATTTGATTGTGTGGATCATGACAAATTGTGGATAACAATGAGAAGAATGGGAATTCTCAAACACTTGATTGTACTCAATGAGGAACCTGTACCTTGACCAGGACTGTCGTTCGAACAGAACAAGGGGACACTGCATGGTTTAAAATCAGGAAGGGAGTGCGTCAGGGTTGTATCCTTTCCCCATACTTATTCATCTATATGCTGAGCAAATAATCTGAGAAGCTGGACTATATGAAAAAATGGCATCAGGATTGGAGGAAGAATCATTAACAACCTGCAGTACACTGACGACATGACTTTGCTTGCTGAAAGTGAGGATGACCTGAGGCACTTACTGATGAAGATTGAAGAATACAGTCTGCAGTATGGATTACATCTCAATATAAAGAAAACAAAAATCCTCACAACTGGACCTATAAGCAGCATCACAATAAGTGGAGAAAAGATTGAAATTGTCAAAGACTTCACATTGTTTGGTTCTACAATCGAGGCCAATGGAAGCAGCAGTCAGGACATTAGACGACATATAGCTCTGGGCAAGTCAGCTGCAAAGGAGCTCTCTCAAGTGCTGAGGAGCAAGGATGTCTCCTTGAGGACTAAGGTGCGCCTGACACACGCCATGATATTTACAGTTGCCTCATATGCATGTGAGAGCTGGACAGTGAATAAGGAAGACCGAAGAAGAGTTGATGCTTTTGAGTTGTGGTGCTGGCAAAGAATGTTGAAAGTACCATGGACTGCTAAAAGAACTAACAGATCTGTCCTGGAGGAAGTGCAGCTGAAATGCTCCTTGGGAGCGAGAATGGCCAGACTTATTCTCACCTACTTTGGTCATTGTTGGCAGAAGGGACCATTCCCTGGAGAAGGGTGTCATTCTTGGTAAGGTGGAGGGTCAATGAAAGAGGTTAAGGCCTTCAACGAGATGAATTAACACGGTGGCTGCAACCATGGTCTCAAGTATAGCAAGGATCATGGAACTGGTGCTGGATTGTGCGGTGTTTCGTTCTGCTGTGCCTAGGGTCGCTATGAGTTAGAAACGACTTGACAGCACCTAACAACAACCCAGGGGTTGGCTCATTCCAATAGTAAACAAGATTTACATGCAGACCACTGGACTCAGGGTGACACACCCACCTACTCTATGGAAATGCATCCCTTGGGGCAATCGACTACGGGACACACATACAAAAAAGTAAAATGTCTATTGTTAATTTATTTTTTTGACATTTACGTTCAAAGGATTTTTTTGCGTTTTATACCAAATATAAAACCCATTGCCTTTGAGTCAGTCCAGCTCACAGTGACCCTGTAGGGTAGAGCAGAACTGCCACACAGGGTTCCAGGGCTATAAATCTTTATATATAAATATTTTATTCCAATATGATCTACTTTGCTTTACTCTCTTTTTAGGACCCTGAATGAATTTTAACTTATTCAAGTCAATTACGTTAGACTGGGATAAGAGAGCATAACTTTATTGGTATAATCTTGATGAGATAGTAGAAAACCCATGCATAATCCTGTATAAAAAATATTTCATCATTTTTATTTGAAAGTTTAACATACAAATAAATCTTCTTTTATAGGATCATGATTGAGACAATGCTTTACATGACTGCTTAGTACTTTCCATAAAACTGAGATATGCCCACTGGTAAGCTTTTATGAAATTTATGTTATTATTTATTTTAACATTTGGATTATTTTTAAACTTTCATTAACAAATTAAGGAATAAAGCATGTGTTATTGGCCAGATGCTACATTTTGAGATATTTAATAGCTTGGTATTCAATTTTATATTTAATATTGGTGATTAAAGTTAGTATGTTTTATAAGTTCAAGGTGAAGCTGAAGAAAATTAAAACAAGTCCACCAGAGCCAAAGTATGACCTTGAGTATATCTCACCTGAAGAGCCCATCTCAAGAATAGTTTTGACACATGGAACACTACTGACTGAAGATAAGACAAGTTGTGAGATGACATCAAGGACATCAAACATGAAGAAAGCAAAAGGTCATTTAAAAAAAAAAAAAACAAAACAGAAGAAACCAACAAAAAAACCCCCACCAAAATGGATATTAGAAGAGACTCCAGAACTTACTCTTGAACGTAGAGTCGCTAAAGTGAAGGGAAGAAATTAGGAAGTAAAGAATCTGAGCAGACGATTTCAAAGGTGGCTAGAGAAGACAGAATACAGTAGTATAATGAAATGTGCAAAGCCCTGAAGTTAGAAAACCAAAAGGAAGAATATAGTTGGCATTGCTGAAGCTGAAAGAACTGAAGAAAAAATTCAATCCTCAAGTTGCCATATTGAAGGATTCTGTGGGCAAAAAAAATAAAATGACACAGGAAGTATCAAAAGAAGATGGTAGTAATATTCAGAGTTACTGTACCAAAAGAAATTGGTCAGTGTCTATCCACTTCAGGAAGGAGCATATCACCAAGAACTAATTTCAAGAAATGGATGCAACGCTGTGAGCTCTAACTCATCTGTTCCAAGAAATTTGAAGGACAGCTACCTGACTAATAGACTGGGAGAGATCCGTATGTATACCTATTTTGAAAATAAAAAGGTGATCCAATAGAATGCAATAATTATCACATGCATTGCTGAGAGAGACACCGAGGGACACGCACTGCTGGGGGAGAGACTGAGCATTTTTCCTGAACTTGAGTTGTAGCCTGGTACTTCCCTATTAAACCCCATAATCTGTGAGTTCTTTGTGGCCCACTGCAGTGAATTATCAAATCCAAGAGAGAGGTTGGTGGGTGCTTTGGGAGGAACGGTTGGTGAAAGAGCTGGAGGGAGGCAGCATGTCTGGCCTTGCAGTAATAGGCCTTGGGCTATTGATTCTGTCTTCCTCTTGTGGCGTTAGAGGAGGTCAGAACATGTGGCCTCCCTAACTTTTTTGAACAATATATGGGCAAATCTGCTGAGAAGACCTCTTTAAAGTGTTCAAAACCAAACATGTCATCTTAGAACTGAAGTGTGCCTAACCCAAGCCATGTGTTTTTATTTGACTCTTATGCATGCAAAAGATGGACAATGAGTAAGGAAGACCGAAGAAGAATTGTTGCCTCTGGATTATGGTGCTGGCAGAGAATATTGAATACACCAGGGGATGCCAGGAGAATGAAAAAAATGTGTCTTGGCAGAAGTGTAGTCAGAATGCTCCTTAGAAGAAGCAAGGATGGCGAGACTTCATCTCACATACTTTGGACATTTTGTCAAGAGGGACTGGTTCCTGGAGAAGGCTATCATGCTTGGTAGAGTAGAGTCACGGTAAAGTAGAGGGTCAGCGAAGATAGAGGACAACTCTCAATGAGATGGATTGACACAGTGGCTGCAACAGGTCTCAAACACAGCAGTAATTGTGAGGCTGGTACAGGACTGAGCAGTGTTTTGTTCTCTTGTGCATGGAGTCAGTTTGAATAGAATTAACTTCAGGGCACCTAACAATACAAACATGTTTTCAATGGATGGTAATTGGATCAAGATGCACAAAATAAATAATAATTAAAACATGATTATGTTTAGTTTATGTAATTAATATTGGATGTTTTACCCTAGGGCAGATGTCTGCAAATTTGTTCTTAAAGGTCCAGGTAGTAAATATTTTAGGCTTGCCTCTGTAACAACTGTTCAACTCTGTCACTACTCAACCCTGTTGTTAACAACACAAAAGCAGCCCATAATATGTAACTGAACGGGCAGGGCTGTGTTTCAGTAAAACTTAACAAACAGGTGACTGGCCTGTGGACTGTAGCTTGGCAGTGCCTACCGTAGGGCATTTATACGTTCATTCATTTAAAACACGTTAATGAACACATGTACTGTATGCCAGACCCTGTAAGAGTAATTAGGGATATAGGATGAGCTATATATTACAGTAGGGGAAATGACAATAAATATATTTATTTATACAAATAATTGTAAAGTTTAAAATTGTGTTACATGCTATGAAGGAACAGGACAGTCTGCTATGTGGTTTTGGATGAGGTCATCAGGAAGTGTACCACTGTAGAAGCAACATAAAAGCAGCCAGGTTTGGAATTAAGGGAAGCTTAGAAATTAGAAGCATCTGTACGTGGAAAGCCTTGAGGCTAGAAGGTGCTTGTCTGGTGAGGAGCTGGAAGAAGGGCTGTATAGGTAGAATGTGGGGATATTTGTCTTGATTGAAGCTGCAGAGATAGGAAGATAAGGAACTGCAGACTCCTGTAGGGCATGTTAAGGACTTGTTTTATTTTATCCTAAATGAAATGAGAAACTATTAGAGTCTTGCACAGGGCAATAACATGATCTGATTTATGTTTTCAAGGAAAAAAAATAGTATTTGTTGAATGTGATTATAGGCTAGACAAGTGTTAGCCATGGTTTTACAGATAAGGAAAATGAAATTCAGAGATGTTAAGGAACTTGCCTAAGATCACATAACTAACAGTGGTTAATGCTACCATGATCAGAAGTAAAAAATTAATGTATCAAAGGAGACTTAGAGAATGGTCCAAAAGGTTAGAAGGTTACAGGTGAATGTGGTGTCATGGAGGCAAGAGAAAGAGGTTCTAACGCAGCTGGAGAACTGCAGGCATTTACAAAACTATGTTCTTTAACTTAATAATACAGAGACGTGTTGTAATAGCATTGTCTAGCAAAATGACGTGAGTCATTCTGTCTTTTGTAGTTGAGAGTGAAGCCAAAATAAAAACCAAAGTTCGCTTTGAAGAATTGCTTAAGACCCACAGTGATCTAATACATGACAGACAAAAGCTGAAGAAAAAGATCGCCAATCCTGGAGAAAACATCTCAGTAAGTAATTGATTATTTAGTAATGGTGATTTATATATCCACATAAAATTATAGCTTTCATATTAAAGTTTTCAGGAACTTTGGAAATTAAAGGGACTACATCTATGTCATGGTCAGTAGCACATGATAAAATAGTTATATTGGCATCAACATCACTCCTGGTGTATTAAGTTCAGTCTTGTGAACTGTCCTATCATAGGAACAGAGAAACTGATGAGAAGGGCCAGTGATAATACGGAAACTGAGAGGTAGCTGTACTAAGCATTTCTGAAGAAAATTAAGATTTTTAACCTAGAGTGTATGGAGAACTTAGAAGTAATATTTTACTTCAGATATTCAGTGGGTTACTTTTATTTACACTTTGTGATTCTTCCCAGCAGAACCAGGAGAAACCATTGGAACCATAAGACAGTAATTTTTTGTGGTTCAGGCACACTTTCAAATGATAGATTTTTGACAGCATATTTGAAGAGATTAAGAAAAAAAACTCAAAACAGTACTAAACAAACCCGCAGTGAACTACAGCCTGATTCCCCTGGTATTAGGGAGCGTTTGTAATAACTTCCACGGTCCGTGCACTATTCACTCTTCAAATCTATGTCACTATTTCAGTTGCACTATGTATTTGTCAGGGAGCTCTGGTGGCATAGTGCCTAAGGCATTTGACTGCTAACCAGAAGGCTGGTGGTTCAAACCCACCAGCCACTCCTCAGAAGGAAGGTTGGGCAATCTACTTCTGTAGTGATACTGCCTCAGAAACCCAAGGAGGGGTCGCTATGAGTTGGATCTGATTCGACAGCAGTGAGTTTGGTTTTTCTGGTTTATGTACTTCTCTGACCATAACCTCTTGCATCCTCACAAAAAGAAAACAAAACAAAAAACAAGTTCTTGCATGTTCTGGTAAATGATACATGACATTTCTTCAGCAGAAGTTTTATAATGAGCTATGAATCTTGCTTTTCACTTGGAATGGGTTTTGCCCCATTTTATTCTTTTTCATTTGTTTGTTTTAATGTTCTGACTACAAGATACATTTTCAAATAAAGTAAAAGTAATTTACTAGCATTGGCCAGATTGCAGCTACACACGTGAAGCCTTCATTGTACACCAGTATACCAACTGTATACCAGTTTAGAACTACTGACAGATGACAGAACGCAGACAGAATGTACAGGCAGATTTATGTCTCTCCCATAGTGGGTGCTAGTATAAAGTAGAATGTGCTTTTTTCCAATACTCTGCTATTTTGAGTATTACTACATCAGCTGTAGGAGCCCTGGTGGGGCAGTGGTTAAAGCTTTTGGCTGCTAACCAAAAGGGTAGTGGTTTGAACCCACCAGCCTCTCTGTGGGAGAAAGATGTGGCAGTCTGCTTCTAGAAAGATTTATAGCCTTGGAAACACTATGCGGGCAGTTCTGTTTTGTCCTACAGGATTGCTATGAGTTAGAATCAACTCAGTGGCAGTGGGTTGAGTTTGGTGGGGTTCAGCTGCAGGGTCACTTAGTAGTTATTTTGAGAGATTCAAGTATTGGGTGCTTGGTTAGATTAGACCATTAACATCCTATTCAGCCTGAGGGTCTAGGATTTTAAAATCAGTCTGTAATTAATTCAGGTCAGAATTGCTGATGGAAGTTATTAGAGATCTGTTATTGAAAAGCATGGATGTTATACTTGATGTGAATATTAGAGATTAGCAAAACCATTCTAAAGTGTTTGTGTTAGAATTTTATGTTATTTGAATACTTTAATATCATTGGCTATATCTTGGTTAGCATCACATTCTCCATTGCACATTCATTTCCATGTGCAAATGATCCATGATGATCTAAAAGGTGAGAACTGGTATACCAGTGCTAGTAAATATCAAAATCCTACACCAATAACTGGGTGTGCTAACTGCTTTGGTGAAGATGCTGTGTTAAGCAATACCTGGCTGATGCTTCACTGTAAATCTGCAGAGTCACCAGCAGGGGAGTAGATGGGCACAAACTTCAGATCACCCCCACATCTTCCACTAACTTGAGGCTGCTCTTATCAGAAAACTGAACAATCCCCCTTTTATTGGACAGGCATTTTACTCTGAGCCAACCAAAGTAATGCCTTACCTCCTTAATTTTGTCTGGTTTCATATCTGTTCAGAGCTGAAAGCTGCCAGTAAGCCTCATGGCAGAGAGTTACAGCATGTGGAAGATGGAATACTGCATACTGGTAGTGTCCTCTCCTCAGATGAGATGTCTAAGTTGGGTAGAAAACTGTTGTTTGCAGGCTTATTAATGGGCTCACTTAATCAGAAAAGAACATGAATTTCTTTGTTTTTTTTCTTTGCCATAAGACTGGGATTTGTGAGCATGAACAAGATCTAGTGTAGACTGGGAATGCTTAGTTAAATGTATAATGAAGCAGTGGGAAGGGGATATGTCCAGTTTTGTAAGGTCCAGTTTCAATGTGGGAGAATTCTGTCAGGACAGAATTGTGAGGTAGCTAAGCATAATCTACCCGTCCTCTCTTGGCAAGCACCATCCCTCAGGCAAACACCATCTTCATTCAGAGATGAGTAAACTAGGAAAACATGTTGTTGTTGTTATGTGCCCTCGAGTCGGACCCAACTCATAGCGACCCCTTCTTGGGTTTCCGAGGCAGTATCACTACGGAAGTAGATTGCCCAACCTTCCTTCCGAGGAGTGGCTGGTGAGTTTGAACTGCCAGGCTTCTGGTTAGCCGTCAAGTTTAGGAACATTCAAAAGAAGTGTATTCTTTGAGGACTTCAAACAAAATACTTTAGTCAATAGAAAAGGAATATTTGCTTTCATTTAATGGATAACTGAATGTCTTCTCTATTTCAGACACCCTTCTACACATTTCATGTGTATTCACTCATTTAAGACAAACAGCCAACTTACAAATATTTTATCCCAGTTTATAGATGAGGAATGTATGTCACAGAGAGGTTGAGTTACTTGTCCAAAGTTACATAGAAGTGATAGAACAAGAATCAAACCCTGATAATCTTGACTATAGGATCCATTCCTTTAACCACAACCCAGTATTACCTCTTTAATAAGATGGGAAGACTAGGACCTCATTGAAACAAGAACAAGGATGCCTATGTATAGAACAGGCTGAGTTTAAAGTGAAGCAGGCTGAAATAAGAAAATTAAGCAGGAGAAAAAAATATATATTAAGAGACTTAATAATGGCAGCTTCATCTTTTTGTGTCCCAACTATAGTACATTTAATACCCGTATTAAATACATTAAACACTGTGATAAGAATTTTGCAGATATTATTTCTAATTCTCATGTTAATTATGCAGTGTTGTTATTGCTGCTCCTATTTTGCACATGAGAGAACTGAGGCACAAAGATGTTAAGTGATTTACCAAGGACCATATAGCTAGAAAGACGATAAGTGGGATTTGAATTCAACATCTCTCCAATTTCAAAGTCCATGGTCTGCGTTTGCTTTCTTAAAACTTTATTTGAGGCATATAATAGTAGATTTGACACCATGAAAAAATCTAATCAGTGATGTGGAAGGCAGATCCGAGGCCTTCTCCCATGAGAAGAAATGGCCAAAACTAAAATGAGAGAAATAATAAGTAATGAGGACAGAGAAGTTTGACCAACAACTAACTAAGTGCTCCCAAACGGTACTAGTAGAGCAGAAACACTCAAAAGAGCAGGATGAAGAAACCTTACTGAGATTAAAAAACAAATAGAAAGATCTAAGAAGACATGAGTCTATCTTGGGTTCAAGGTACGATTTATGAGGTAAGAATTATATCTGCAAACATTTTTGTAGTTTACATTTCAAAGGGAAAAGAAATTTTACAAACATCTAAACAGAAAAACATGTAATGAATTTTAGACTTCTCTCTAATGGCCCTAAATCAAAAAGACAATGGAGCAGTCATTACAGAGGTTTGAGGGGAAAAAATGTGATCCAAGAATTCTAAAGCCAACTAAGTTGTCAGTCTTTTGTGAGGTCATTATGGAATATTTGTGAGTTACTGAGGGACGTGTAAAACTAAAAACTAATTCCAGTGACCTCTCATTGAAAAAAACTACCAAAGATGTACTAGTTAAAAATGTATTACCATTTCCTAAGAGGCGAACCAAGATTAGGATTTTTTTTTTAAATTGTGATTTGGGTGAAAGTTTACAGAGCAAATTCACTTTCCATACAGCAGTTCACATATACTTTGTCTCATGACATTGTCTACAATTTACCACAATGCAACAGCTCCCCTCCCACTTCCTCCCGCTAGTTACCTCTTCCCTGTGTCCATCCCTCCATGCACTCCTGCCCCCTCAGCTGTCTCCCTGTGCATAAACAGCCCTTCTTTCTCCCATGATTGTTCTCTCCAAGGAGTGTATCTACCTCAGGTAAATGTTCACCTCATATGCCTGTCTTTTGTTTGGCTGGAAGCCACAAGTGTGGGTTAAAATTAAGATTTTTGAAATACCATAAACACCTGTTGCCGTTGAGTTAGTTCCAACTTATAGCAACCCTATAGGGAGCTCTGGTGGCATAGTGCCTAAGACATTTGACTGCTAACCAGAAGGCTGGCGGTTCAAACCCACCAGCTACTCCTTGGAAGGAAGATGGGGCAATCTACTTCTGTAGTGATACTGCCTTGGAAATTCAAAGAAGGGTCGCTGTGAGTCGTATCCGACTCGATGGCAGTGAGTATGGTTTTACTTTTTTATAGGACAGAGTGGAACTGTCCCGTAAAGTTTCCAAGACTGTAAATCTGTGGATGTAGACTGCCACATTTTTCTTCTGTAGCAGCTAGAGGTTCAAACCACCAACCTCTCAGCAGCTGAGTGCTTAACCACTGTGCCACCAAGCCTCCTTCAATTTAAGAGTACTGGTAAACTTTTTGCCATCAAACGGATTTTAACTCACTGTGACCCTATAGGACAGAGTAGAGCTGCCTAATAAGGCTTACAAGGTCTTTACAGAAGCTGACTGCCTCACCTTTCTCCTGTGGAGCAGTT